CTTTCAATATGCTCGCTTCCCCCCGGGGCGCACCCCACAGTTTAAGAAACACTGATTTAAGTTATCCGACAACGATCAGAACCATGATTTTGTAAAAGCGTATAAATGTATAATATTTATGATATTTAGTGTCACTTAGATTCGAAAACGTATATAAAATTGTTTTAAGAATATCATTACAATACAAAATTATTTAAGTTCAGTATTTTGAAAAAAAATGCACATAGAATGACAAATTCAGACTCTCTGGAGAAGTCTTTACTTAATCTAAGCAAAATATTGTTATTATAGAAGCATTTTTTATTAAAGGAGAATGTTTTGAGAGAAAAAAATTATTCTAAGTTAATTTTTTGCCAAAATATTGTATTTAAATAATTTTTTGTCATAATGTCCTTAAAACAATTTTATACATGCATTCTAATCTAAGTGACACTAAAAATATCTTGAAAATTATCTATTTATGCGTTTTTTTTTAATATCACGGTTCCGAACGTAGTTGGATACCTTAAAGCCAGTAAAGATCCGTTTTGTAAAGGAGACGACCCAGGTTAAATCTTTCGAGATCTAAAATCCTCATGTTAGTATGGTGTGGAAGCTTGAAAAGGGGAATGTCAGCTCAGGAGGTATCTTCCTCATCACTTGTTAGAGGTTCAAAATAGCAATGGTCAACGCAAATAGCCTCCTAATTGCTTTTAAGAGCGATATTCTGTAAGTGAGTGAATATTAACGTCACACTATTCAGCTATTTGAGTGCTTTTGGCAACTGATCTCATGAGTTTGAGCCCTGGTCAAGTGACTACACCACATGAGCTGCCCTCATTTCCTAACTTCCGCTTCACACCACGGAAGGGCATTTGAGCCTCGACAGATTTAACTAGCATCCCTCCCCTACACGACAGGTCTTCAGTGGTACTGGGTTCGAACTCATGACACACTAGCCATGAGTTCGTTACCATGACCTCTAGGCCACCGCGGCCACACGCCATTACCACCATGAAAGTTTTAAACAAAATTGAAAAGTGATTATCTGATGAACTGGTCAGTAATTATATTTGATTAGTAAGATAATTTCGCAAGGAAATATTGTTCCTAATTCGAAATAATTTTTTTCAAAGAAATAAAAGACACTTATTTCACCCTTTATCTACCGTATTATGAATTACAGCAGTTTTTTTCATGCAATAATTTTTTTGGATCACTACATTGAAAATTAAGGGATATACATAAACAAAATATTCAAATTTGGGAAATCTAATCCGTTAGAGCTAATTAATTAATTAAGGATATTCCACTGTAAAATTAATTATATACACTGTTCTCTTAAAATAAATAGTCAAATCGTTTTCTAAGGTTTTCATTAACATACAAAAAAATAATAAGACATTTAAAATTTGACATTCACTATTTTTTCGAGGCAAAAAGGATAATCTTCGTAATCCGCTGAAAAAGCCGTCAGCTGAAAACGCAATTTCTGCTATAAAACTATTCGCCTTCCCCGCTAAAATATCCACCATAGAACCGGTGCTGCCATATATCTTGGTAGAGTAGATTTCAAAGAATATTCCTGCTAAGTATCGTAAGAATATTCGTAAAAAAGGTTATTCTATGTAATTTTAAAATGAGTGGTACTTATAAGTACCGTCGGTAGATAAAGGGTTTAAGTGTCAGAATGTTACACGTATTGCATACTCTGTAGCTTGGGGGCTCCGTACCATTGATACGGTTGATACGACAGTAGCTATGCCCTTGTCTTGGTATGAAATTAGTCAAGCGTCGAAATTTGGTTGCGAGGGCAGCCACAAGATGGTGCCACCATTGAAATGGCTATCGTATTTGGAGACTTGTCGTATCTGCAAAAGTCTCAGTTTTAAATATGCAGCCCAAGGGAAAAAAGAATTTAATAGTTAAATTAGAGATTCTCAACCTAATATTATAGGTATTTAAGGTGCACGAGAATACCTAACACAAACCTCTGCATATAATTTACGAATATTTTATCTTGGAGATGATTTTGTCACCAGCCAATAAACACGGCGAGAGTTTAAATAAAAGTAGTATAAGCAATGGTAAGATTTCATAAAAAAATGCATATTTTTAAATAATTAGTTTGAGTTTGATATTTGATGTAATATTATCATTTTCATTACCATAGAACAAAGTTTTATTTTCTACTATTATAAATAATTTATATTATTTTTTTACCACGCTATTTTCAAAGTAATTCCTTAATTTAATTTTGTAAAAAGAGTAAGTGCTTAAGAACGTTGCACTAGAAAGCAACCCGAGGGTTATTACCAATATACCTCGAAATTTTAAACACTCCCTCTTCCGCTAAGGTGAAGACTTTGAATCAAGACAGTTTTCACTTGCATCAGCCCCCTTACAAGACGGATCTTTAGTGGCACTAGGTTTCGAACTCATGACACGCAGGCCACGAGTTTGTGACCGTGACCACTAGGCTACTGCAGCCGTTAGTTTCACTAGGCTACTGGAGCCGTTAGTTTCGCAAAACACATCTGTCTCTAGAAATTAATCATCTTTCGGAATGTGATTTTAGTTGCATAAATTTGGCAACCGGTTAAGTTGTTTACTTTTGAGAAAAATGAATCCGCTTCAATGAGAAGAGTCAACGTTTCAGATTATTTTGTTTTACCGAGTGATGCAGTTCGAAACTTGTTATTATATTAACTTATATGACAAAGAATTTTTTTTATCGTGAAGCCGACGCCGGTAAAAGGTAAATAATTTGGAAGCATTTATTTAAGCTGTTTCGCTGTTATAAAAAGTATATACTGTATATCGTGGCGTATAATGCGTACTTTTAACACAAAAAATAAGTTCAAAAGTTACGAGTGCGCGTTGTATATGTCGGACTTTAAAAATTGGTTTAAAAATATAGAAAAGATGAGTATAAAAAAAGTAGACTTATGCATCTATCTAGATACTGTTTATTTAAAAGAAATGACACGCTTTATGAATTTTCATTATTAGACATTAAAAGTTCGTCATATTCGTCTTTCATTATATTTTTGGGCACATACCGAAATTTTAACATAATCTTTTCATCATTACTGTTTCTCTGATTCGTACATAATTATCTTCCATTCCATTTAGATTGTTACATATATTACATTTTTCAAAAGAACTTTTTAATCATATTAAGTTTAACATAATTCCATGATTTTATTATCTGCTTCCGCCGGCGTTTCTCAAACTGAAGCACGTGCCCTCCTAAGGGGCGGGGAGGGGGGGGGGTGAGTCTAAAATAAAAGATTATTAAGGAAAATTATTAATTGACTGAAAGGAAGCAAAACAAAATACATTCTGACATAATGAAAAATAAAATACTCATTTAACTGATATAATATGCTTATACATGTATCCAAACTGCGCAATGTATTTGATCATTAATTTATCAATGCTAAGTTAAAACAAGTTTAATAAATACTAGAGTTAGAAATGCTGATAGTATACAAAATAATTCTGTTTTCAAAGCAGAAATTAAAGGATAAAGAAGTTTTTAATGAGTTAATAGTTAATTTTACGTGAATTGCAAATTCAACAACAAAAAAATCTTTTTGCATATCAGCTGAACAAAAAAAAAAACCAAAAAAAGCATGTTTGTTAAATTTTAAGTCAGTAGATCTAATAGCTGATAAAAGGGATTTTTTTTTATTTATTTATAACTCCCCGTAACTCTCTTGTCAGTCGATTTTTGAAAACACCTTCCTAAACTGATCTCTGCTCAGCAAAAGTAACACATTGTTACAAATTTTGTGTAATGAACGCTTAAAATAGTGTAAATAATTTATATCTGAAAGTGTAATAAATTAATATTACTTTATGTTGTATTTATTTTATGTTAAAATCTTGCCACCCCTCTCCCTTCGAAATAAAATTTTTTTAAATAAAAAAAATAGTGATTACACTGATCAAAGGAATAAATTAGAAGCGAGCACGCATTGAGACATGGCGTAGACAAAACAAAAGGGAAAGTTTTTCTTCACACAAAAAAGATATATACTGTCGCGGGCTTTTTTGCAGTTGGCAGAATTTTTTCCTACTTTCTTGACAATTATCGTTATATTTTGAAAACTTCAAATAATATCTTTATAAATTATAGCCTATGTATTATTTTGATGTTTTAGCTATATTATTGTAAAGTTTAATTAAAATCCATTCAGTTGTTTTCCGTGAAAGAGTAACAAACACCCCCATACAAACTTTCGCGTTTAAAATATCAGTAAGGATTACCTTTTTATTTCCACACGACGTGAAATCTATAAAAATTTCTTCTTGGGCAGTTGAGAGCCTTTCTGTATCAAGGTACCTGTGTACTTGGTATCTTCTTTAGTTAAAAATTATTTTTTAATCTGTTTCAATTTAAAAATTAGAAAGGAAAAGTAACATAATACTTATTCTGTTACTTAAAAAGAACTCACTTAAACTATCTATTACTCAAAAGTAACTTATACAAAATTTAATACCTATCTTGATAATTTATATGATTCACATAATTAAGTTCGTTTTGTTGATTTAGCGTCAAAGTAGATTATTATTGCATGCAATGCATTTTACTGTGTAAGGTGCAGGAGGCGCGATGAAAATTATGATTGAAAATTAGGCCGCACATATTGAAAGTTTAACAAGCCTTCGCAACAAATGAGCATTGCACACAAACATTTCAGGTTTCTTCGTAAAAACAAGTAATATAAAAAAAATTAAGTCAATTTCTACCTAGGTCAACAAAGAAACATTTTATTTAATTACTTTTTATTAAATAGTTACAATTACTATAAATATGTATATACATGGGACAGAATTACAAAATTAAGTGACAAAATAGAAAACGATTTTCCTTGCAATTTTCCATGTTCCTTTCTATATATGGTGAGTTGGACTGTTGTTGTTGTTTGTTTGTTACTACTTATTCATAAAAAATTTAATTATTCTAATAAAATAGTATAGTAAAAAAGAAATCATATTCTCAGAAATGAGGCCATCCCAGGTGGGATTCGAGCCCATGACTTTTGAATTAAAAGTCCAACGCGCTATCCATTGCCTACAGAGACACAATGAGCGACTTTTCTTTCTATATATGAGTCGGACTATTATTTTTGTTACTATTTATTAATTTTTAAGTTGAATTAATGAATTAATATTTGAAAAAACTGTATTAACATCAAGTATCATCCACTACAAGTTTTAAAAAATGTATTTGAACTTGAATGGATGAATAGAAAGTATTTTATTGACGATTGAAAATTTGAACGTAATTCGCTGGGCTAATTCAGCGACAGCTTTAGAAATCATAATAGGTCTCCAGTTTTGTCCAAAGACTTATTTGTATCTACAATTGTTGTGTCTGCTGAATTCCAATTTCTTACTTCTTTAGCACTGTAGGTTCTAGTACTTCTTCACTTTTATTTTATCTATATATATAAAAATGAATGTTTTTGTCTGTATGTCATCGATGAACTCAAAAACTACTCTACCGATTCTTATGAAAATTGGTATATATATGAATTTTTCCACGGAGAAGGTTTGTATAATATGCTCATTGATGCCACTCGCCACCAGGTGGCGCTGCAGAGTAGCAACTTCTGCCCCGTTCAACCGATTGTCATGAAAATCATTATGACCATGTATTTTTACACAGAGGAAACGAATATGATATTCGTATTAATGGAAGTTACCACCAGATGGCGCTTCCATGTATCAAGTTCAATACTGATTTTAATAGATATCTATACGAATTCGTATAAATAAAAGTTCTCAAAATATATTTTTGGTGCGATAAGTAAAATAAAACTATAAACTTTCTTTTCTTCTCTATCTCTTCTTCTCTTCTCTTTCTCTATTCTCTTTTTCTCCTCTATCTCTTATTCCCTTCTCTATCTCTATAAAAATAATTGTTTACCTGTATGTCTTTTCTAGAATCGTAAACTATGTATTTGATTATGTGAATATGTCATTCTAATGAATTTCATATATTGTCGTCACAGTTCATGCTGATATGAATTGAAACAAATGAAGCGAACGATAGATGACATTTCGAGTCGAGAGTGACATAAGAATTTGTGTAGGTTGTGAAATTCATATCTAGCTTACATTAAACAGACAATATTGTGCGTATTTTTATATTTGGGAGAGTTTTTCGAATAATTTTGTGCATTTCATCGTAAGCTGAATTAATTTAGATAAATACTTCAATCGGATTGAATATTTGTAGTTTTTGTGAGCTGATTATATTCATTTTCTACAGTGAATTTACGAAGATCATCGAATGTGTATGTGACGGATTTGACTGCTGATTGACATCCCGAACGCATTTGCTGTGCGATTTTTTTTTCTTATTAGCATCTTATACCATATGCGACGTTTTATAAATTCAAAAGCATCACGTCGTTCCTTTATAATTATGCCTCCAAAGCGACGAGGAATTGGCCGATCTACACCTCAAGCACGAAAGAGAAGAGCATTACGAGCCTGAGAATCAGACTAGCAACGAGCATTAAGGCTGGAAAATCTTCGAGTACACGCCACTGACCCGTTCGTCTGAATCGTGTGACCAACGAGAAGTAAGATTAGAAACTGATCGAATACGTACTAATCAGATCCGTTCTTCTGAGACAACTGAATTACGGGAAAGAAGGCTGCAAAATATTCGAATAAGCACTGCTCGATCAAGACGAACACTGCACGCTGATTTGAATCTTAGTGCATTCCATTATGACAGTAATAATGATTACAGTCTTCATCTAAATGTCGTTATTGGAAAAATGGATAAAATTTGCATGTATTGTAGTGCACTCAAATTTAAAAATGAAACGCGGGGAATGTGCTGCGCCAGTGGAAAAGTTAAACTACCAGAATTACATTCACCGGCACATGCATGAATACGCACAAGATACGATGACATACGTTCGCGCATATGGTCGTCCAGATTTGTTCGTCACCTTTACATGCAATCCAACATGGAATGAAATTAAAGAACTTCTATTAGTTGGACAATCATCTTCGGACCGCCATGACATTACCGCACGCGTATTTAAACAATGTTTGATGTTTGATGGATTTTATTATCAAGCATCATGTTTTTGGAGAGACACGCTGCTGGATGTATTCCATTGAATGGCAGAAAAGAGGATTGCCACATGCACATATTTTGGTTTGGTTAATCAACAAAATTACGCCAGATCAAATTGATCAAATCATCTCAGCAGAAATACCAGATAAGCACATTGATCCAAACTTATTCGACGTCGTCACCAAAAATATGATCCATGGCCCATGTGGCGCTTTCAACAATAATTCACCATGCATGTCTGATGGGAAATGCACGAAACGATACCCAAGAATATTGGTTTCTGATACTATTACTGGCAATGACGGATATCCACTGTATCATCGACGATCAGTTGAGGATGGTGGCAAATCCGTCGTTCTGAAAGTACGAAACATTGATATTGAAGTAGATAATCGTTGGATTGTGCCATATTCACCACTGCTTTCAAAGCACACATTAATGTTGAGTATTGCAATACAGTGAAGTCGATCAAATACATTTGCAAATTTGTCAACAAAGGAAGCGACATGGCAGTCTTCGGAGTAGGGAATGTAGCTGCACCGCTCGATGAAATCAACCAATACCAACTTGGACGCTACATAAGCAGCAATGAAGCAGTATGGCGCATCTTATCATTTCCAATCCATGAACGACATCCAACAGTAGTACACTTGGCGGTGCATCTCGAGAATGGACAGCGCGTGTACTTTACAGCAGATAATGTACGTGCAAGAGCATTGGTTCCACCGGCAACAACTTTAACTGCGTTTTACTCATTGTGCCAAGATGATCTTTTTGCTAAAACTTTGCTTTATTCTGAAGTACCGAAATTCTACACGTGGAATGCATCGACTAAAAAGTTTCAACGTCGCAAACAAGGTAAAACAGTTGAAGGACATACCAATTTATATTCCAGTGATGCATTGGGTCGTCTGTACACTGTTCATCCGAAGAATACAGAATGCTTCTATCTAAGATTGCTGTTGATCAATGTACGTGGACCAATATCCTTCCAAGATTTAAGAACAGTCAACGGTCAGCTGTGCGCTACTTATCGCCAAGCTTGCCAAGAACTAAATCTTCTTGAGAATGATGCACATTGGGACACTGCATTAGCTGATGCATCGAATACTGCTCGACCACAGCAAATACGCATGCTATTTGCCATAATATTAACAACCTGCTTCCCATCTAATCCAAAAGATCTTTGGGAAAAATACTAGGACTACATGAGTGAAGATATTCTACATCGTTTGCGCGCTGCGAATCAAAATCCGGACATTCAATTCACACCAAACGTGTATAATGAAGCATTGATTTTGATTGAAGACATATGTTTGACAATCGCTAACAAGGCACTGGTGCAACTGGGAATGCCTGCTTCAAACCGACCTGCAAACAACCTTTTTGATCGTGATTTGCAACGAGAAACACACTATGATTCTGACGAACTGGGGACATTCGTTAGGACAAATCTTCCGCAGTTGATTCTAGAACAACGCATTGCGTATGACAGAATTATGCGTGCAATCACAGAACAAAGCGGTGGACTGTTTTTCATAGATGCGCCCGGTGGTACAGGCAAGACTTTTCTTCTTTCACTAATTTTGGCAACCATACGATCACAAAATAATATTGCACTGGGTATTGCATCATCTGGAATTGCGGCAACTCTTTTGGATGGTGGCCGAACAACGCATTCAGCATTGAAACTGCCGTTGAATTTGCAAAACACTGAGGCACCAACATGCAACATCAGTAAAAACTCTGGAATGGGAAAAGTACTCCAAACGTGTCAAATTATCATATGGGACGAATGTACAATGTCTCACAAGAAAGCATTGGAAGCGCTTGATCGTACACTGCGAGATTTTAGAGGAAACAGACGGATCTTCGGTGGCGCACTCATTTTATTGTCTGGTGATTTTCGACAAACACTGCCCATTATACCACGATCAACACCCGCTGATGAACTTCATGCATGTCTTAAATCATCAGTTCTATGGCGTCATTTACAGAAATTGACTTTGAAAACTAACATGCGTGTACAACTACAACGGGATGCATCGGCTGGAAATTTTGCAAAACAATTAATGGATATTGGAAATGGGCGAATGGAAATTGATGAATCTACACAATGTATCACCCTGCCAGCAAACTTCTGTACGATCACAGAAAGCATCGACGAATTGGTGCAAAAAGTTTTCCCAAACATTGCACAAAACTACAAAAACCATCAGTGGCTCAGTACGCGTGCTATATTAGCAGCCAAAAACATCGATGTCAATACCATCAACTTCACCATTCAGCATGGAATACCCAGTGAAACGACAACATATATGTCAATCGATACTGTGGAGAATCAAGATGAGGTTGTCAACTATCCAACTGAATTCTTGAATTCGCTTGATTTGCCAGGCATGCCACCGCACGTTCTTACATTGAAAATTGGCGTACCCATCATACTTCTTCGAAACATAAATCCATCACGACTTTGCAACGGAATCAGACTCTCAGTCAAGAAAATGATGAACAATGTTATCGAGGCAACAATTTTGACTGGAAAATTCAAAGGTGAAGACGTCCTGTTGCCACGTATCCCAATGATCCCGACAGATATGCCATTCGAATTCATACGTTTACAGTTCCCGGAGCGACTCGCTTTCGCAATGACTATTAACAAAGCACAAGGACAATCGTTACAAGTGTGTGGATTAAATTTGAAGAATCCATGCTTCTCACATGGACAGCTCTATGTGGCTTGCTCACGTGTCGGAAAACCTTCTGATTTATTCGTCTACGCACCAGATGGAAAAACAAGAAATATTGTGTATCCCACAGCACTTTAATAAACATCTAATTGAAACTGAACTTTGTAATCGCACAATTTTTTCGAAACGGCTTTGAATGAATTGAATATTTGTGTACTGATTTTTCTTTAAAATTATTTTTCTTAAATTTATTTCAGTTGTTTGCGTAGCAACGCGCGCCGGGTACAGCTAG